GTATAAAAAAGTCCTGGATATACTAATATTGGATTTTTTTTCCTTTTCTCTTCATAACTTTTTTCAAAAACGCTTTAAACTCCTCTTTCTTTTGTATGACATGTTTTTGTATGCCTTGATCAATGTCTCGTAAAGTAAAAATTCAAATTTTAGAAATAATCATCTTTGAAAATTATTGCCAAAATTTAAAAGTTCATTACTTTCGTTATATTAATTGTCTGAGATATTTCAGGCTGTTTCCAATGCATTTTTAATGCGAGACGGCCAAACCGTTGGTTACTACGTTTGAGTAATCAAGGTTTATGTCATTTGTGTTCGGTTACGAACACAGCCAAAAAGTTTTGAGAAATTAAAATGTAAAAAATCAATATTTTTGGTTTATGGAAAAATGCTAGTCATACAATTTCCATATATGAAAAAAATACTAATCATAGACCTTTCATGCAATTTTCTGTACGTATGGAACTGAATGGAAAGTGTATGACTAGCATTTTTCCATATATGGAAATTGTATGACTAGTATTTTTGGTCATCCCGGAAAGCTAGCAGGTCTGTCTAAGCTTGGTCAGTTTTTTTCCACACTTCAGACTGAGTTATTTTGAGCGAAGCTCTTTTTCGCAAATCAACGCCGTTTTTTGCGTCTAAAATTTTCAGGTAGTAACTCTTTTGCAGTCGGAATTTGTCAGGCTGTGTGAGTAAGAGTTTGACCTAACGTTTTATCACTGCCATGGCAGGGGATCAAATACAGACTCTGACAATTTCGCAGTGAATGCCCTACTTCTATGCTAAGTGCCTCATCCTCTGCCATTTCGCACTCATTCAAAATTTATGCAAGCTAGAAAAAAAAAGCTTATCGCCCAACTTCTAATATCCGTATGTATTGTATGCATTACATTTTTAGGTAAAAAGGAAAGTACAGAAAAAAAATTTTATCAAGCAATTTTTGTGATACGATTTGACAGGAGTTGTTTTTAATATGAAGAACTGAAAGATATGATCAATTGAAAAGAGCTCCCAATTGAAAAGATTCCATGCACGCATAGATGATATTAACAATAATAAAAAGATGATATATCTCATATTAACATCTGTTTTGGCTGCCCGTTAAAATCAAACCGTCTCGGGTATGAAATGACTAATTTAGGGAAAAAGGAATTAATTTGTCGCTGAAAAGTTTCTCATAGTAGCTATACAAAAGCTTTTATAAACAGCGCTACCATGTAAAAGTATAAAATCTCGATTTGAAAATGAAATTGAAATCAATTTTTTTCATAAAACATTTGAAAACTGCTTATACAAAATTCTAAGAGTTAGCTTCTAATCATTAAAGCAGCTTTTATCCAGTGTTTAGACTAAAAAAATGCTAAAAGCAAAGTTTCATATTCAATTAAATTGACTTTATAAATGATTGATTGATGTTATAGTATAAGAAAAGAGTTAAAGACAATCGCTCGCTAGTTTGATCAATGAGCCAAGCGAGAGATGGGTAATAATCCAAAAGGCCATTAGGCCAATTTCTATGACATTTTGACAAAAAGTGGCAATTCAGATCGCTGGGTGCATTGTTCATTTGTCGTCCTGTTCCTCCTGGTCGTTTTCGGCTGTCCAGAGGGAAAGGTTGTCCCGCAGAAGCTGCAGAATGAGCGTGGAGTCCTTGTAGGTGTCT